GAGGAGCGAGGTTTGGTGCGGATGAAGGGAAAGGGCGACATCAGGACATACTGGCTGCTGGGACACGTCGACGGAGAGCGGCACCGCCTGAAGAACTACTCCAACCTCAAGGTGGAGCCGCTGTTTGTCAACAAAACCGGCCTCAGAATTACTTTTGAGGATGACCAGGAGGGTGGCGGCGGGGCTGGCGGCAAAGACGGCGGTGGCGGTCTTGGTTCATCGCACGGTCGCAAGGGCTCACTCATTCACGGGCTGCATCGAAAGGGCGGCCGGCACGGCCTGGGCCCTCGAGCTCAGGCTAACTCCATTCTGCGACTAAAGAGTGGCTACAGCAACTCCTGCAGTACGGTGGCTCTCTCAAACGGGCCGTCTCATGATGCACTGAACAGTGGCTACAGCGACGCAGTGCCAGTGAGACCCAGTCCGAAGATGAGCCGTCTGAACATACTGAACATTGGCAAGCTCTTCAACGGGAAGATTCGCTCAATGTCCACCAATCACCCAGCGGCGGATGGAGCGACGATGCCGACGACGGGCAATGCCAGTGCTCTCGCCATGAGCGCCTCGAACAGCATTCCGATGAAGGAGAAGGCCATCAGGCCACCGAAGGGCATCATCAAGTCGCCCAGCTACAACACCATTGAGATGCACAGCAAGCGAGCTGACCTGGATCTCTTTGACCACTCGGGGGAGGGAGGTAATGATCATTATCCCCAGCACCAGCACTACCCTCCTCACGGCAGCCGAAGCAGTAGTCGAAAGGGAAGCGTCGAGAAACTGCACGGCTACCACCAGCATCATCAAAAGCTGCTTTCCCGATCTCAACTTGACGGCTCGATGATTGAGGAGTCATCGCTGAGTGGTACTGATGGCGGTGGCAGTGCCGGGGACCACCGTCAGCTGATGACCGACAGTCTGGAGACGGTGGCCGGCAAAAGTGGCACTGGCAACAGTAGCAACAACAACAACAACAATACCGGAAGCAGTTCCTTTGCCAGCTTCAAGGCGGGCGACGAGTCGGCGAGTGATGAGGAGAGTCAGCCACTGCTGGGACTGCACGTCGACACTGCCTCGAACACTGTCCTGCTACCCACTGTACACCGACTGCCGCCAGTGGCACCACTACAACCTCCGCATCAGCTCCAGCAGCCTCACCGGACGCCACCCAGTCGGGTCAATCGGCAAGTCAGTCTGGCGGAAGTGGACGAAGTGGAGCTCGAGGAGAACAGCAGCCTCAACAATAGCAGTCTCAACAATAGCAGCAGTGCTGGTCGGCAACCCTTTAAGCATGCACCCATCAACTGTGATACAACAATTACCCCAACCAATTCATCACCATCAGCTAACAATAAGGGCAGCAGCAACAGAACCGATGAACAGCCTATCTCTGCTATTTTAAATATTCTACCCGAGAGAGGGGAAACTTCGGCGCAGTTTTCTGAGCCCAATCGAAGGCCAACTGTAAACGGGCAGCACTCTTCTCAATCGAATGCCCATGCAGAGAGCAAGCGCACATCAAATAAAGCCATTGAGGACCAGCATCATCAGCCAGCAGCAGCCTTTAGCACTACCATAGAGATGGCACCAGCACCATCATCCTCTGAACATCAACACCATCACCTCCCCAGTCCCTACTTCTTTGAGAGCAGTGTTGGCACTGGCAATGGTGGCAGCAGCAGTGTTGGCTGTAGTACTCCCGGATCCAATGGCACCACTGTCAAAATCAAGAGCACCGTGTGAAATACTATTGACGAGCAAAAATAGTGCAAAGATGTGCTGCTGCTGCTTTCCTACTCAATACTCGATCTTATTCTCACGCTGCTTCTTTCTTCTTCTCTTTCTCACTGTGAATGTGTTTGCAGAAGCACCTCCACTGTTTTTTTATTTTCAATCATTTTCCCTCTCTCTTTCTCTCTCACTCTCCACATAGTCCTCACAAGTCGTTGCCCGTCGGTCTTTCTTTTGCATTTTCATATACATTTTCACTCTTTCTCTTTTACCTCCTCATCTACACACACACAGACAAACAGCTGACACAGCTAGCAGATTGTTCCACAGAATTGTCTTCCCTTTTTCTTTCTCTCCGATTCTCGCCATTCAGCCAATTCTTTTTACTTTATTTTATTCTCTGGCCACACTCACTCACTCACTCCCATTGACACAGTCGAAGAGTTCCCACTTGTTTGCAGTAGGCAGCCCCATCACATCATCACCGCCCTGGTCTCTGGTGCAGTCCACTCTAGTCATATTGCTATTGCAAATATTTATTTTGCGGATTCTTTTTGTCCACAAATAAACTACTAGTTACTTACTAAACACACTCTCTCTCACTCGGTACTCCACTGATTGACAATTGCTCTCAGAAGAGAGGACACTGTTGCGGTTCGGTTCTCCGGAAAATTGGTGGCAAATTCGGGAGTGATGTGTTCTACTGCACTGCTGCATCGGTGCAATCAGAGTGCAACACATACGATGCCCTTCAAAAGCCGTCACAGCCTAATTAGAATCATCAAAACGTAATCACCGCCACTCGTCGTCCAGTAAACATTCGAATATTCTCTATAAAAGGATTGAGAGTGCTTCGTAGAAGTACTCTGAACACTGGTGCACTGCTGTTGAGCAAACAGCACTCCTACCACCACCAATGCATTGAATGTGTGCTTTTTGATTAACTGCTCTCCGACAGATGATGAAGATGATGATGAGCAATTCTGAATGAGAGAGAAAATCGTCTTCATTAGTTTTGCTTTCGGTAATTAAAAATTTGCCTACGGTGAAATGCGGGCAGAGAAAGAAGCAGAACACTTCCCATGTATTGACAGGGAAGTGGTGGTAAAGGAATCAACGGGCTGAGAATCGCCACATATGGCGTGCGGCGCGCATCGAAATGCTTTGCAGCATGAAAAAAAGTGGGGTGGTAAATATTGCAATATATGGACGGCACACAGACGCACAGCATGGATTAGCATCAGATGCTGTCGGGGGAATGATAGATTTAATAGAAGAGTGGCTCAGCTGTGGCAGAGCTGATGATACCAAGCTGGTGGTACCAGTAATGAGAAACAGGGCAGAAGATTCATCAAAGAGGCAGCAGCAGATTCCGCTGGCAGTAATTAATCTCGCTCCTTTTTGTTCCGTCGCCAGAACCGTCGCACTTCTTCGTGGCCCGACGTGGTAACCACCAGCAATCGACGCGACGTATTCTCAAAGATGATTACACCCAAATCCTGGGGAAAGGAGAAACAAAATATCAATTTAGCGTGAATAATGGAATATTCTTCCTTATTAAAAATGAAAAAGAGAAACAGTAGTGCCGCACTCAATTAAAAAACACTTACATTGGCGTACTTTCTCAGCAGTTCGTAGTCTGGCTGTGAGTTGAATTGCGAGTAGAGGACGCCATCATTGAAGGTGAGTCGATTCCGCTCCTGCTCCCAGAGAAATATCTGGTCAATGATGGTGCTGGGAATGACCGTGGCTCGACCCCCTATCTGCATATTCGGATGGGCGTGCATCGTCAGGTAGTGGGTGATCTGCTTGGCGGTGATGCCGAATTTGAATGCCGCTCGCACTGACTCACGCGTAATAAAGCCGGCAATAAACTTTGGAAAGCGGTAATTCAGCTCAATGAAAAGGGTAAGTAGGGCAATTTGAAGTGGTGATTCTATCAGTAGAAGCAATTGGTCAAATCAATAAAATCAATCGTGATGACAGAGGTGTTTATCCTTACCGGTGTATGCGTATATTCGGTAGTTTGTTTCAATGACAATGAAGCCCTGTCGTTTGGCAGTTGCCGTCACAGCCAAAGTGGGCTTTGATAGGGTATTTTGGCGAACACAGTCAAATAATTGAATCACAAGTCTGGTGGGATAAAATCGGCCGTCTTTGCGCTAAACAAAAAGAAAAAATGATAGTTAGCCATTTTAGTAGTTTATACACTCACAAGTTCTAGTTACCTTTCGTTGGTAGATGAGACCCATTTCGCGCAAATGTTGCAGAAATGTTTGCAAAGAATCAGTCATTCCATCAGTGGAGTAGCTCTAAAAAGTTAAATTAATTCAAGTACAAAACAAAAAAAATGGTTTACCTTTCCAAGAGTTAAAAAGTTTAGCTCAAACAGAAAACTTAAACATTCAATAAAGCTAAGTCCTAAGCCTTCGACCAGGTCAAGGTACTTTCGAAGGAAAAACCAAATTTGAGAAGAAATATCCATAAGTAGAAACTGAAATCCCGAAGCTGTGATGCTAATGTCTTGAAGGTCATTTTCAATAAGTCTAGCTCGAAGAATGACTTGTTTGGTGATTTCGCCAATGTTGTCATTGTAATCCTTCAACTTGACACTGGCCATAAAATTGAGAATAGAATCCCATCTTTTGGTCACCGCATAGCTGTCCAACGTTTCAATATCGGGCTTGTGCTTGTCTGCACTCAAATTGTTAAATAAAGGTCTCGGCTGCCCACTGAAAAAGCAAAAATTAACAGCTGCTCATTCAATTTACTGAAATTCAAAATTACCCTCCAAGCCAAGCGGCCTTCAGATTCTCCCGAAACGTTGAATTGAGCACCCAAGCTGGTAGGCCGTTTAGCATGTGCTGCTTCCAAATGTGCAACTTATTTAGGGCTTCTGAAGCTTCGGTGTAATCACTAACGAAAACAAAATATTAGTCAGTAAGGTAGCACAACTGATTACTTATACAAACTCACCTTGACGTCTTGACCCACGATGAAATGACTGCCTGCGGAATTGGCTGCTCGATGAACATAAGGCGGAGGACAAAGTTCTGTGAAAGGGAGGGCAGTTCGCGAAAGACCACCAAACAGGCGGCGGATGAGGCGTACAGCTGATGGAGAAATGCAGGCTGAAACTTGCTGAGGTAGTCAATCAGACTGATGTTCATCTCATCGTACTCCTTCCCGCCGCTGTTCATGTCCACCAGAGCATTGTTGCCAAAGGTGGAGCCCATACTTTGCAGGTTACCGGCGAATGCATTCATCTTTGCAGCGGAGTGAGTAGGGTGAGAGATTTGAAGAGATTCGGATGTTGATCAAAGATGAGGAACTTTCACTTAATAAATCTGCTGCAGATGATACTGTGCAGCCACTTATGCTGCATGTCAACAAGCAAACAGCATCAAAAGAAAGATAAACGTTGGTTCTGATCCTGGACCACAAAGTGCAAGTTGTTTTGACAAGAAAATGAAAACAATGCCCGTTTAGCGCACTTTTACGGCGTTTATGAAGGGGCACTTGTTCAGACTTTTTTTGCAAAGCGTGTTTTGTTTTTCAGCTCCATGTGACTTTGCCGCAAAGACTTTATCTGAAGATTCCCCGGTTTTTCCTTCCCCCAAATGGGTTCCACCGCCTCCAAGGAAGTCTCCGGACCGCTGGGCAATGTGTCCATTGAGAAGAAGCACCCGGAGGCCTACGCTGGCATGGAAATTCCGCCAGAATGTCCGATGCACGCAAAAGCAGCAGCCGCCGCTTCAAGCAAAGCCGCCTCCGACTGTCCAATCAATCCGGATAACTTGATGCCCCTCGAACCTCGTCAACAGCCGTCGGAAGGACAGCCTTTTGATCTGAGCAAGAATCGGCAGACGTCCACCATCCCGAAGGCCGATCCAAAGGATGAGAATGACAAGTACTGGGTGTACCCGTCGGAGCAGATGTTCTGGAATGCCATGATTCGCAAGGGCTGGAAGTGGAACGACGCCGTAGAGGGCAAGGACGATTCTTCGGGAGAAAAGTTTGCCGCAAAGGACATGAACGATATCATCCGCATCCACAACTTCAACAATGAGCTCGCCTGGAGAGAGGTGCTCAAGTGGGAGCTTGCTTTTCACCGAGAGGAGTGTCCCTGTGGGCCAAAGTTGAGACGTTTTGGTGGTCGTGCCCAGGACTACTCGCCGCGAGCTCGAATTCGAAGTTGGATGGGCTACGAGTTGCCCTTTGACCGCCACGACTGGGTGGTTGATCGCTGTGGAAAGGAGGTCCGCTACGTCATTGACTACTACGACAGCAATCACCTGGACGATCAGACGGGCAAGTTTGCGCTGCTCGACGTTCGCCCGGCTTATGATTCATTCGGGGCGGTCTGGGACCGAATGCGAGCTTGCTACTGGCGCTGGACACACGAGTACTTTCCGCAAGCGGAGCCATCAAAGCCATCTACTTAGAGCGTAGAAGCTCTTTTCATCTCGTTTCACCTGTTTATATAACGCCTCCTAATCCCCACACAAATAGTCATGTAAGATACAACAAAAATTATTGTTAGATTAAATTATTGCTCAAGCTGGTACTACAACTCCGATAACCGAAGCACACCCCGCTAGATAAATGTTCACTTTTTAATGGCACCTTAGAGCTATGATAGGAAAAGCCTGTCTGTGTTATGTTGGGTCTGCGCTTCAAGGTCAGACAGAAGGCGGCGGCCGGCGGTTTCCTGGCGGAGCTCCTGGAGGCTGTTTCTTTTGAGGAGGGGGCGGTGGCGGTGGTGGCTGATCACGGAGCGACTGCTCACTGGGCTCCTGCGTCATGAGCGCCCGTGAGGGCGAATTGAAGCTTTGCATTGAGGCGGCGGGCGTGGCTCCAAACTGAGATGTCTGGCTCACTGACTGCTGCGAGGCCTGAGACTGCATGCTTTGCTCCTGCTGAAGTTGCAGTGAGGGGGCGTTCTCAACCGGGCCAGGAGGTGGAGGAGGTGGCGGTGGCGGCGGATTTTCCTTTTGCACCTGTCCGGTGTTTACCTTCTGCAGGACTGGCTGCTGCTGTTGCTGCTGCTGTACTGCTGCCACAACCCCTCCCGCCCCCTCTGTCCGCTGGAACCACTGATCGCGAGCAATCGCCTCAAAGGGCGTCCGTTCCTGCGGACTGGCCTTGAGAATGCCCGCCAGCCAGCTTTTGGCGGCCGGCGTCAGATTGCGCGCCCCCGCCAGTGCCTGCTCAATTCTCGGGCCGGCCAGCTCCACCGCCTGTTCATTGCGCGCCGCCTCGCCCATCGTCCCGTACCGGACCGGGTAGGTGCGGGTGTTGGCGAAGAAGAGCGTCGCCCCGTAGGACCACACGTCTGCGGCCACCGGGTTGAAGGTGCGGCCCTCCTCGAAGGTCTCCGGCGCCTGAAAGTGCGCCCCGGTGTTCAGCGCCCGCCCGCCGCCGCCGATTAGGGCCTTGACCGTGCCGATGATGTGGTCGTAGTAGAGGACACTGTCGCGGAATGAGCTCAGCTTGACGATGGTCCGCTCGGCGTCGGCGGCCGCCGTGGTGAGGAGGACGTGCTTCGGACTGATGGACCGGTGGGCGATTCCACAGCCGCCCAAATAGTCCATGCCCAAGTACAGCTGCACCGCCCACTGGCCCATCTGCGTCTCGGGCACGTACACGCGGTTCACCTTGAGGAAATCGCGCAGGTTGCCGTAGATGCTATCAATTAAAAGAGATAAGACTTAATCTCTAGAACTAAACCTTCTCCTCTTCCTACCAGTACTCCTGAAAGATGACCACTCGACCGGCGTCATCGAAGAAGATGTCCCAGGTGGAGATGCACCATTGGGAGTTCTTTCCTGTGTTAGCAAAGACAAATGTGTAAATAGCTTTAGGTAATCCCCTTTTCTCCTCAACAACTTACCAATGTGCTTGAGCACCTTCATGTAGATGCTGCGTCGGGCGTCGATGCGCGCCGTCGGCTCGTACACCCGCGCCACCAGTGGCTGCTCCGGACTGGCCCGGTGGTGGGCGAGGTAGATGTTGCTGAATGAGCCACTGAAGAGGCTGTTCTCCACGTCTATGACGTACTCGAAGAAGTCCGGCGTCTCGGTGTTGCGCGCCGGCGTCGAGCGAACCAGCGTCTCCACCTGGCGTTTCACACTGCTCGCCAGCGTTCGGTCCACCTGGTTCACGTTGATGTACGGCATTATCTTTGGAAAAATGAGATTTGTTGAGAAAGTGTTGTCGCGGACAAGTGACACGTAAGCACAAAGTGAAATAGACAAAAGTTCTGACGACGCTTTTCAAAGAGGTGCGATGATTTAGAATTGTTTACGTGTAACAATGGGCTGAACTGTTTTCACTGCTATAAAGGAACACTTGCCGCTTTGTTGTCAGGTTTAGTCGAGTTTGTGCTTGAAAGAGTTATTTTTCATAGATTTTTTTGCACTTTTTTCTTCTCTATCAGCATGGCTTCAAAGAACCCCGGCGACAAGAAGGAAGAAAAAAAGAAAGAAGCCGGCAAGTCACCGACCAAAAGCCAAAAGCCAAAGGAAGCCAAGGAAGCAGCCGGCAAGAGCATCCAGAAGAAGGTCGAAAAGGTCGAGAAAAAGATGGAAAAGATCGAAAAGAAGGCTGAAAAGGCCGAGAAAAAGGAGAAAGCCGAAAAGGCTGAAAAGACCGGCGGCGGACCGTCTGAGGGAAAGGAGTCCAAGGCGGAGGGCAAAGGTCAGCAGCCGGGAGGAAAGAGCACCAAAGAGCCTTTCGCCGCCGGTGGCGCCCCGCCCAAGTCCACGGAGAAGTCTTCGAAGAAGAAGAATAAGTGCTCCGACAAGCCGACGCCCACTCCGCAGACGGTGCACATTGTCAATCCGCAGGGACCGATCCCGCTGACACCGGCCGACCAGAAAACACTGAGCGACATGGGCTTCGCCATTGGCCAGCCGATGCGCTCCGGTGGCTTCGGCATGATCTACACGGCCACCCAAGGCGGCCCTGGCCCCAGCGCCAAACCGTTGGTGGCCAAAGTGATTGAGCTCGCCGGCCTGGCGACCACATACGTAAAGGAGGTGAGCAACTGGCGCGATGTGTGGCGCAACTCGCCCAACATCAACCCGGCGCTTGAAATCTTTGAGCTGCNGCCGCTGGTCGCCAAGGTGATTGAGCTGGCCGGCCTGGCGCCCACATACGTGAAGGAGGTGAGCAACTGGCGCGATGTGTGGCGCACCTCGCCCAACATCAACCCGGCGCTTGAAATCTTTGAGCTGCACGAGCCCGATCGCATGATGGTGATCATGGAGCCGGCGGACTTTGACCTGCAGGACCTGGTCCTCAAGCAGCCGGGCTGGGTGAGCAAGAAGCTGGCAGCCCAGTACTACTGGCAGATAAATCGCGGCCTCAGCTTCATGCACCTCAAGAACTTCGCCCACCGCAATCTGAAACCGCGCAACCTGCTGATCAGCAAGGCCCGCGGCATGGAGCTCCGTCTCTCTGACTGCGGCATGTCACGCGTCAGCTTCGCCGCCACCCACCCGGATACTACCTCCAACTTCGCCGCCTGGCACGAGACCTTCGGCTACCTCGCTCCGGAGGTCTTTAGCGGCAACAATGCTTTCTGTCCGATGGAGGCGGACCTGTGGTCGGTGGGGGCCGTTCTCTTCTTCCTCCTCTACAAGGTGGTGCCCTTTCAGACGCTGAAAATGGACATCGCAGAGCTGTCGGAGAAACAGAAGCGCCTCGAGGTGAGCA